AAAAAAAAAAAGTTTGAGTCCAGCCTGGGAAACTCAGCAAAACCCTGCCTCAAAAAAGTAAAAATAAAAAAGGTTGGGGATATAGCTCAGTGGTATAGTGCCCCTGCATTCAAGTCCCAGTACTGGGAACAATCCCATATTTTCAGTCATAAGATGATTCTTTTGATTTGTTTTCATTCATCTAAAAAATGTAAAATCCATTCTTAGCATGGCAGACCATTCAAAAGCAGGCAGAGGGCTAGATTTCATCTTCTGCTCTTTAGTTTGCCAACTCTGCTCAAAATCCTCTCCATCTCAGTTCAGCTAAACAAATCTATTGCACATTATAACCTTGAGTCTATAGGCTGGGGAAGGTGGAAAAAGTTGAATTAGTTCTGTGCTAATTTTTTTTTAATTTTTAGTTGTAAATGGACACAATATCTTTTAATGTACTTATTCATTTTTTTAAGGTGGTGCTGAGGACTGAATCCAGTGCCTCACATGTGTGAGGCAAGCACTTTACCACTGAGCTACAGCCCCAGCTCTGTGCTAAAAATTTTTTAAACTTCATTTTGCAGTAATTTCAGACTAGAAAAAGGTTGGGGGAAAAACACAGTACAAAGAATCTCTTCACTGAGTTCCCAAATGTTAACATTTTCCATATTTACTTACCTTTCCGGTGTTCTTTTCATGCCTAGAATACCAACTCTTGAATCTTGTTTTCTCTTTCCACATTTTTAGTTTTGGAACTAGTAGAGTCAGTTGCAAAGATCATGTCCTTTTGTTTCCAAACACCAAGAACATTCTCTTACATATCTACAGCATTGATCAAAATCAATACAAAACTACTATTTAATCTTTAGATTCTGGGCCATTATGGAGATGAGGGACTTTAACATCAATGTATGATATTATCAGATCTACAGGTCTAATTCTGATTTCATCAGCTGTCCCACTAATATCTTGTATTTGCCTACCATCGTCTCTGGTAACTCCCCCCTCCACAATTACCTAGTGAATTTGATGTTGTTTTGTCTTTTTCACCAATGAAGAAACTACAGCTCAGAGAGATTATGCAACTTGTTCACACTTAGATAAATGGTAAGTAGCAGAGCTAGAATTCTGACTAAGTGTGCCTGTCCCTGGAGCACTTCCTCTTTGGGGGGTGATGTAGGGAAAGAGTAGTGGGGATTGAACCCAGGAGTGCTTGACTGAGCTATATTTCCAGTCTTTTTTAATTTTATTTTTATTTTGAGACAGGATCTTGCCAAGTTTCTCAGATTGGCCTTGAACTTTTGATTCTCCTGCCTCAGCCTCCTGAGTAGCTGGGATTACAGGTGTGTGTCACCTTTCCCAGCAAATTCTTGCTCTTCAGTTCTGGACTAGAATTGCAGAGTTAAGAAAGGACTTCACAGATCAAGGAGGGGGAGTTGGCATTACATGCACGAAAAGAACATGGAAAGGAAAATCAGTGACCGATCCTGTCATGGTCTCTCAAGGAAATGTCCAGTGGGAGAGGGCATGAGCAAATGGAGGTTTGGATATGTTGTTATACAATATGAAAAGTTTTTTTGCAACATCAAGAGATAAGCTAAGATTACTATTTTGACTCGTTAAAAAGTAAAAACTTTTTACTTATTAAAAAAAACACTAGATACAAAAAAGCAACACAAAACAAATATATGATATAATGAGTTACAAGGTGATAAGGCCCAGCAAGGGCAGGACAAAATAGGAAGGCCACATTTGAGACTTAATTGAGAAGAGAGCTCAGAAGAATCTAAAGTCTGGTCAAGGGGAGAGTCTTTGTCAATAGCATAATTAGACCACACGTTGGTTTTTCAAAGTAAAAAGTTAACAAAATAAAAAGTTAGATAATGACATCTAAAAGATTGGATTTTATGTTATGTAAGTGTTAACTCAATACAACTGGGAAAAATTAAATACATATACTTAAAAGCAATATCCCTAAAGTTTTCTTCCCTTAAGTTTTTATTTTATTTTATTTTAGTTGTTGACAGACCTTTATTTTTTTATTTATGTTTATGCGGTGCTGAGAATCGAACCCAGTGCCTCACACATGCTGGGCAAGTGCGCTTCCACTGAGCCCCAGTTGAAACTTGGGTAGTGAAAGAACAGTGGGATTTTCTAAGAGTGCAGGGAAGCAACCAGGGAAAAGAGGGTAACTTTGCATTAAAGTCTGGAAGTTATCCGAGCTCGGGACAAGTTAGTTTACACCGAAACCTTTCCCCAAATGTAAAAATAGTGCTATTTCATGCCCATTTGACAGATCTGCCTACAATGCAGAGATGACAAGAGAACCAAATGCAAAACTGAAAGGTGGGAGGCACTGGTGCTTTCATCACTCAAAACTCCATGAAATAAACTGCAGACCCAACTGTTTTGGAGGTTGACATTCGAATAAATTTTGCCACAGCTGAATCACAATTCTAAATTTATCCGTAATTAGAGCAATGGTTCTCGAACTTCAGCATGGATCATAATGAGTTGGAGAGTTTGCAAAATTAGAGATAGCTGGGTTTCATACCCCCACCCCATCCCAGTTTCTGATTCTGGGTTTTTTGGGAGGGGGGGGCTCCAGAATTTGCATTTCTAATAAGTTCCAGGTGATGTCGATTGGGTTGGACCATAGACCACACTTCGAGAACCCGTGCTTTAGAGTTTTAGGATCGGAGTTAGGTTTAGTGTTATCAATTTCCCCCTTGAGTTCTCTCCAAGCAGCCAAGGTAAAAGGAGACCCCCTTGGCAATGTCCAACTCCCGGGAGCGTTATCAAGCTGTTGACAGGAGGGGCCTCTCGATCGCCGTTCCAAAGGGTTCTTCCCTAGGCCGTCACTGGCAAAAACCAGATAACCCTGCGCTGGAATCTTGCGGAGGCGCGTGGCGGGGGCTCTCCCTTTCACCTCAACTCCGGGCTCTGCTACCGCGGGGTGGAGCCGGGGGCGGAGCAGGCGAGGGGGCGGCGCCAGGCTGCGGGTCCTCAGCCAAGAAAGGCCGAGCGGCTGGCCCCGGCGCCGACTGCGGAGCCGAGAGGTTGGAGAATGGTCATGATCGCGGTTCCGGTTCGCATCCTCTCTTTGCTGCTGGCGCCGCTGCTGCTGGGTTCTGCGGGCGGCTTGCTCGTAAGTCTGCGGGACTCGAGCGCTGGGACGCACTGCTAGGGACAGGTTGATGGGAAGCCAGACGGAGGCCGTGGTCACCTCAGGTCCTGGCAAAGCCCGGAGCTTGAGACCCCGGGGTGTCCCGGAGCAGGCAGGCAACCGGCCGAGCTCAGGCAGTGGACTGGCCTTCCTGTCGGGGGCGGGCCGGGCAGATCGGGCGGGGCGCGCGTCCTTCCCGGTAGCTGGGTCGCTTGTGTGTTCGGCTCGGACTGCTCCTTTCGCATGGACCTACTTCCCCATTTGTGTAACGAGGTGGGGAGATGAGGTGCGCCTAAAACCTATTCAATTTCGGATTTCCAGGAGAGGGAATCCAAGTCGCGCGGGCTATTGGAGGGCTCAGTGGACTCCGGTTTGGTGCGCCCTCCCTTGCCTAGTTCCGTGCTCTGCGGAGCGCTCCGGAAGGAGATAAATGGGGTCAGGAGAGGCCCCCTCAAAGATGAACCTTGTAATGTTTTTCTGGAGGGTGATCTTCCTTTCAAACATCTGGTCTCCTCCTGGCCAGTCCTCCGCCGCCTGCTATGGGGCAGGGTGTTTCATCGCGTTCGTGGGACCCTTTCTCTTTAGGGTTTTGCAGGCCAGATTGAGGGTGGGAGGAGGCAGGCTGCAGGTGGGCACCAGCGTTGACCGATCGTGGTCAGAGAGGCTGTTGGGGCGTAGGGGCGTGCCCCTGGGGAGCTCTGCGTCACATCTGCGGAAAGAGAGGGAGTAGTTTGGAACGCGGCAATTGCCTCACTGCACGTTCAACAAATCAACTTCTGGTTGGTTCCTCCAGAGTTCAGGTGCATTGAGTCTGGGCACCTTTTAATACAGGTTGGTGGGATTTGAACCTGTTGACTTATGAGTTACACCCTTTGATAAAAGGCTATCAATACGCGCCCAGAACAGAGAAAAGTCATTTATCTAAAACCAAGATGGAAAATCTTAAGTATTTGGAAAACAGCTGCTGAGAATATTTTCATTTTGGGAAAAGGTTGTCTCAAATTGGGTATTGGCAGCTGCTGCTCCCTCTCCATCTGTCTGTGGTTCTCCTGCCCCCATCTCTCCTACCTCCCCCCTCCCCCTTATTAAACATTTTTTTTTGTCATAATTGAAAGGTCTGGAGGAACTCTGAGGTTGGAGCTAGACAACTATAAGAAGCTGTTGAAGGTGGAACTGGGAAACAGTTCAGTGGCAGAGTGGAGTGGGGGATGGGAGGAAGATCTTAACCAGTATCTGAAGAGGGGTAGATAAGGATTTGTGGATGAAGAACAGGTCTACAGAGCAACCCTCTGGGTAATAGATCATCACTCTCCTAAAGCATCATTAAGTGGGTGGGGTGCACCCTGTCTGAAGCCCTCAAGGGGAGGCCAGCATCACCTCAGGAATTCTTAGGTGTCCCTTCTGGGCTTCTGTGTCTAGAGCTGAAGACTAGAGCCAGCAGCCTAGCTTTCCTTTTTTCCCTTGTTTGCATTTATTGCTTTCAATGTCCTGGACAAAATTTGAAAATATTTATCAATTTCTTTTAGAAGTAACAAGACTATTACATAGTAATAAACATATTCTTATGAAAGATAATAGTATTTCTCAATTTCACGGTGCAGTCACATTGTTTTACATTCTGTGTCTTAATAAGAGACATTTTTAAATGTACTTCTGCATTGAGTCCATTACCATATGACATGTCATGTAGCTTCTAGAAAGCTCTACTGTATAGGCATGACAGTGAGAACGGAAAAAGTGGTGATGGCTTAGTAGTAATATGAAAATAGTGTCTGACTAAATGGATCATCTGAGAGGGTGTCACTTGAGAACTGTTGATGTAGAATAATGTATTTCTTATTTAAAAAAAAATGTTCAAGCTTACTGTGGAGAAAGTTTAAACATACAGAACGCTGTGCAAAAATAAAAGCTGCCCATCGTGTCACCATCCTGTGTGTTTGTATTTAAATAACAATAGTGTAGTACCTGACTATTTGAGTGGCTTAGATTTGAGGTCGGTTGGGCAGATATTAGTGGCCTTCGGGTTTTGAATGGGGATAAAGCGACTCTAATATCCCACAAAGCTGACACCAGTTCCTGGTTGCAGGCCGAGCTGACCTGGAAGCCTCTCGTTGGCCACTATCCTTTCTAAGGAACTCGCCTTCCAGAGCCCACCTGCACAGAACTGGTGGGGACTCTTCTAGGAGCAAGAGAGAATGGCGCACTTCAGGCAGCTCTCCCTGGGCTCCAAGGCTGCCCTGGCTGCGGTCACTGTCTTCGTGTCCATGATCGTCTCCCGCTCCTATCTGGCACAGAGCCTGGAGCTCAGGGCCTGGCGATGGCTGTTCCGCCTGCAGCTTGCTCTCTTTGTCAACTCGCTCATGCTCATTGGTTCCCTCTACATCTGGCGTAGCACAGTGAGCAACCTCTGCCACTCCCCAGCAATGGAGTCCACCTGTTTCCAGCTTTGGAAACTGATTGTGATGGTGTTTCTGGCCCTGGCCCATTCCAGTTTCTTCACCATGCTCTTTCTGGTGGCTGAGGAGCCCTATTTCTTTTCCCTGGCGGCCTACTCCTGCCTGGGTGCTTACATCATCATGGTGTTCTTCCTCTGCATCCTCAGCGGCATGGAGCAGGCCTACCAGCTGTTGGCCTGGCGCAGCGGTAGGATCGTGGGCAGCCTTGACAAGTCAAGGAAGCTGGTGCTCAGGCCCGCCCTGGCGGTGGTGGTGACTGCCGTGCTCAGCATGATGGGGCTCCTGAATGCTGCTAAGCCCCCAGCAGTGAAAACCGTGGAGCTGCCCATCCCTCAGCTGCCCCTCTCTATGAACAACCTCAAGATCGTGCTCCTCTCTGACATTCACTTGGGGCCCACAGTGGGCAGGACCAAGATGGAGATGTTTGTGAAGATGGTGAATGCATTGGAACCCGATGTCACGGTGATTGTGGGTGACCTCTCTGACTCGGAAGCCTCTGTCCTTCGGACAGCTGTTGCTCCTTTGGGCCAGCTTCATTCACGCCTTGGCACCTACTTCGTCACGGGCAATCATGAGTACTATACGTCGGATGTCAGCAACTGGTTTGCACTGCTGGAGTCCCTGCATGTCCGGCCACTTCATAATGAGAATGTGAAGATTTCTGCCACGGGGGCCCAGCGTGGCGATGGTGGTGGTGAAAGTGAAGACTGGATCTGCTTGGCCGGAGTGGATGATATCGAAGCAGACATTCTGCACTACTCTGGCCACGGCATGGATCTTGACAAGGCCCTGGGGGGCTGCACCCCAGACCACACCATCATTTTGCTAGCTCACCAGCCCCTGGCTGCCAAGAGAGCCCTCCAGGCGCGGCCAGATATTAACCTGATCCTTTCTGGGCACACACATGCTGGGCAAATCTTCCCGTTGAACGTGGCAGCATATCTCCTGAACCCCTTCTTTGCAGGTCTCTACCAAGTGGCCCAGACGACATTTGTATATGTCAGTCCAGGGACCGCCTACTATGGGATTCCCATGAGGCTGGGGAGCAGGGCAGAGATCACAGAGCTCATCTTGCAACAGGCTCCCTGAACCAGCCCTGTCCTTGGTACCCCTGCCCTCCCCTCCCCTCTCTGTCCCTCTTCAGAGTTATTTGCCAGCTTGACCCTTCCAGCCATGACGGCACCCCCTTGGTCACAAACCTGACATGAACAGTGATTTGTAGTGGGGCTGCCTGGCAAGTTCAGGCTGGTTGAATTCTTTAAGTGGCTACTTGCTTTTTTGGTATGCATCTGTGAGGCCACTAAGGTCACCTATAAGAGGACATGCTTCTGTTTTCCAGTTGGTGTGAAGTGAAGTCCTCCTGCAGAGCTCACAGGGAAGAACCCCAGTGTGGGGTTCCTAATTTAGAACCTGAAAGGGGCAAGAGTGTGTCTTCCTCTTGGTGTTTTTTTAAACCCTCTTTAGGACTTAGATCTAGAACCTCTCTGGAGGTGGTATTGGTAGGTAATGTGGGACAACAGGTAAGGTCGGAAGCCCCTTGGATTGCTGGAGAATATTTTCTTATTCTGCTGGGATCTGACAGAATCAGCTTTATTGAGGGCATCAGCAAAAAATGCTGGAACACAGAGGGCCTCTCGTGTTCAGGTCTTGAGTAAAGCCCTTTGACTGTGCTCTTGGGTGGCCAGGGCTGGGGGCCGATTGAGAAGAAAAAAAAAAAAAAAATGAGCTGAGCTCTCTGGCCTTGGTGGTAATGCTGCTGCTTATGACCTCGGGGGTTTTTTACCTCCCTTGTCTTTTATACTTGGGTGAGGTAATTAGGGACAGGTGGCTTCTGTATTTATAGATGAGGAAACTAAGAGAAAGAGGCAGGGCACCCACAACATGACAAGGTATGTTGAAGGGCTGGGGATGTAGCTTAGTGACATAGCATTTGCCTAGTGTACACAGGGCCCTGGGATAGATCCCCAACATCATGAAAAAGAAAGACGGGTTGGAGACTTGGGGCTAGAAGCCAGGTCTGCCTCCTACTGAAAGTTCTTTCCACTGTCTGGTGGTTAAGTAGCTTTATTATTATATTTGAGTATAGAGCCTCACGCAGTTAACTGCAAAAGGAGAACAAACCAGAACCTGATGTTCCTGCAGAGTTCTTTGCTGAAGTCTGACTTCCCTTTACCCACCACTACGTGGAACAGAGCCTACAAGGCAATTAGCTAGCTTTGGTGTAGGCTGTTTTGTTTTTTTTTTTTGAGGAAGAGTCAGGAAACTGGGGCCCCCTACTTCTCACCCCAGGTTGGGGTCTGAGGAGAAGTGAAGGTTCACAATCCACCCCTGGGGAAGTTGAAGCTTTCATGGGGTGTGGCAGGGCTCTCTGCCTCTTGCAGGGCCTTTCCAGCTTCCCCTCCTGAGCCCTGGAGTTCAGGAACTGTTCTTCCTGCTGGGCAGATTCCAGTCCACCTGTCTTGCCCCAGGCGAGCTGCCCTTAGACTCTGGCAACAGAAATAACAGGATCATTCCTTGCTGGCCTCTAGACTCAGAAAAAGAAGTAGGGGTGACTGTCCTGGAGTGAGTCCCAACCTCTTGGCCTAGACCTTGCCAGAAGAAAGAACCTTGGACTTTGGAATACCAGTAAGCCCTCCTCTTAGAAAGGCTTGAGAAATCTGAGGGCTTGGGCTCAGTGTTAACTTCTGGGTAATTTTTAGACATGGGGCTGACAGGCTTTCTGACAGGGAGCATAGACACTCTCTGATGGGAGGGTCCCGCTCTCCTGCTCACTAGTGAGACATCCTAGGTCAGCGAGGTGACCTCACAGCACTGTGGCTTTCAAGATGGTTTCGTTGGGGTGGGAATCAAGACATGGTGCCTGAGTTCCTTGTGGCACTGTGCATAGTTATGTGAATATTTCAACAACATGTGAGCTTGCTAAGGAACTAGACTGTGCACGGGTGCCCAGAGAATTTCTGGAGCAACTGATCCTGGGGAATGTGGGTGAATAGCATGCCACCTGTTACCAGGGCCCCGTGAGATGTTGCAGCAGCAACTCGAGGGAAATTATCTTCCCCTCCCCATGTTAGTCTCCTTGGGTAGGCTCTGCCTGGCAGATGGAGTGGCTTCGCTTTCTCTTTGTTCTTCTGAGTTCTCCAGAACCCCATCCCTTGTTCCGGGGTAGCGAAGGCATCAAAAGTGAACCATCCCGTCAAGTTGAATAAATGAGGTGAAACTGATGGTTTTCTTATTTTTTTTTCTCCACGTATAGGATTTCAGAGCAATGGAAGGGACCCTGGAGAATCTTTTTATTTATTTAACCCAGGGGTGCTTTACCACTGAGCTACATTCTCAGCCACCATCCTGTCCCTTTTAAAATTTTTTATTTTGAGACAGGGTCCAAGTTGCTTAGGTCCTCGCTAAATTGCTGAAGCTGGCCTTGAACTTGGGATCCTTCTGTCTTAGCCTCCTAAGTTGCTGGGATTATAGACATGTGCCACCACACTTGGCTGGAGAAGCTTTAAAAAAAAAAA